GTCCTTAATTTTTCATATTTGATTGACATCTTTTGATTTATTTATAGAGTTTATAAAGCAACTTTTCAAAAAGTGTTACATTTTTTTATTACTATCATAACTAAAAAGAAATTTCCGTTAACTTAAATACTTACTAAATATAAGCCATATGCTTTTCTTCGTTTAAAAAGTAATATATACGTAAATGTCTGGACAAAAGATTATTCAGAGAATATGTATAGTACGGTGTAGGATATATTTTCTTCAATGTCGTATTCCTTATTTCATGATAAAAGATATAAAATTTCAAGAAATGGAATAAAGGGATGCTTACAGAGTTTATATTTATTGCTATGTATAAGTATATTCTTATATTTCATTCATTTTAATATCAAATTTTTTATACATACATAATCTTTATAAAATTTGAAACACTTTAAATTCTTGTAGAATAAATTCAAAATCTTATGATGTCATTGAACTAGGTATTATCTATACTGTGAAATTTCTCTTAGTCTGTATTCAGTTAAATATATCCATTTGTAGTGTTAGGGATAACAATAATGAGTTTAATTAGTGTTTTACAGAATAGATAGTAGAGAAAATAATATAAGCATGCATGTTCCATTACTCCATTAGAAAAGGTCTTCTTATTTATCTGAAATTTCTTGTATTAAGTATTTAGAATAAAAAAAATTAAATACTTTTTTGTACGTAATGTAACGTAACATACTTATATGTATTTAGAAACTGTGAATTGTATTAGTTACATGCAATAATGTAATAAAGAACACATTACGCATTGGGTTTAAAAGACTAAATTATAAATTTTTCATAATTTTTGTTTTTTTTTCAAATTTTGAATACTCAATGGATAAAAAGTTATCTTCATTATCTTTGCTAAACATATGACATAACCAATATGACATAACCGAATTTTTGGTTATGTTGTATTGACAGTTCGTTATGTTTACAAGCTTAGGTTCACAAAAACAGAAACATTTATGATATAACAGTCAAAAAGGCATCACATCACAAAAATGGAATTAGATTTCTCAAAAATATGTCGTGTGTGTCTAAATGAAGGCATTATGATGTCAATATTCAAAGTAAACGTTTCAAAAAAGATTATGGCATGTGCCTCAGTTCAGGTAAAACATTATATCATTGATTGAATTCTTTTTTTTTTTGAATTTTGAACATCCTTCAGGTATGGCAAAATGATGGCCTTCCTTCACAAATCTGCAACAAATGCTCAGCAAAGCTCCATATTTCATTTCAATTTAAAAAACAATGTGAAAAATCTGATGCCAAGCTGCGCCAATATCTATCAAACATGGCTCAAGAAAACCTCCAACAGCAGTCTCAACAACACGTGGAGCATCAACAGATCCAGCAAGTGACACAGCCCCAACAAATTAACAAACTAGATGAATTAGATTTAAACCAACAGATCAATCAAAACAATTGCGTGTATATTGAGTGTGCCCCTCTTTTAGAGATTCAACAGGAGCAAAAATTTGATCCATTGTTTGTCCCCGCCTCGCAGCCACAGCAGTCTTCTCTAACTCAAATTAATTACAATGTACAGTCACAAAACCACCTACAGTTGAATAGTTACAATTTGCAAGGAGTGAGTCAAGTACAGGTCTACAACGGCACCTACAGTATGCCTCTGCAACCCATGCAGCCCCCGAATATACTCCACAATCAAGTCATAGCGCCCCAAATGCAAATGCAGCACCAACAGCAGTTGCCTCCACTGCAACCTGTTATACAACAAGCAGTTCCTCAACTTATGGAAGAAGATAAGGACAAAGGGAAGAAAACGGGGAAAGTAAAGAGAGACAATAAAATGAATGACATTAAGCAGTGTCCTACTTGTAATAAAGTTTTTGCAACTTCAACTAAATTAAGTAGACATATGAAAACTCACTCAACTGATATGCCATATAAATGCAAAGTTTGTAATAAGGCGTTTTCACATAGCGGGAATTATAAGATCCATCTAAGGATGCATACAGATGAGAGGCCTTTCAGGTGCACCGTTTGTGATAAAGGCTGTAGGCAAGCCCAGGACTTGGAAAAACATATGAGAACTCACACAGGTGCCCTAACTTTAATAAAAATGAACACTGGGTCCATTTTTGATGTTGTAGGAGAAAGGCCCCACAAATGTAACCTCTGCACTCGCGCATTCTCTACAAGCTCAAATCTGATAGCACACATAAGGACACACACAGGCGAACGTCCTTATGTTTGCTGTGTGTGTCAAAAGGCCTTTTGTCAGTCTAACGAATTGACAAAGCATATGAGGACTCATACAGGGGAGAAATCCCATATTTGTGACATTTGTCATAAGGGTAAAAACACAATAATGTGTAATTATTATGTAATTGTTTTTTTTGTAGGTTTTAATGGATCAAGCACGTTAATTGTCCACAGAAGGTCGCACACAGGTGAACGTCCGTATGTCTGCTCTGTCTGTAATAAAGGTTTTGCGCAATCAAGTTGTTTGGCAGTCCATATGAAAAGACACAATGGTGAAAAAAACTTCGCGTGTAATTCGTGTGATAAATCATTTGTGACAAATGCCGACCTTAAGGAACATTTATTGACTCAYACAGGGGAGAAACCTTTTACGTGTAATATATGTGATAAGAAATACTCAAGAGCCAATGATCTCAATAGGCATACAAAGACACATACTTTTAAAGGAATTGAGGAGAGCTAGCCTTTATAGCTCCATTTATCAGTATTTTAACTGAAGTATTAGAAATATTTGGCCAAAAATTTACTATAGTATTTATGTAGATTCTAATGAGGTATAGTGTACTATGTACGATTTACTCGTTATTTATGATAATAAATCTAAACCACGATATTTGTGTTTTATTTTAAACGAAATAAAAAAACAAGTAGGTTCTACAAATTATTTATTATGTACACCGAACAAATCAGAATTATTATTCACAAGTATGTTCATAAATAAGTCTGTAAATTTCAGCTTTCAACTTAATTTTCTTCCTTGGACATGGTATTTTCTTAAGCTCAGCTGCAATACTTTGTCCAAAAAGATCATCTTCGTCAGGATTACTAACTTTACATTGTGTACTCTCATTCTGTACATTTACAGAATTTTCCGAGACATTATTTTCAGACGCGCTAATATCTTCATTAAATAAAGGAGTTGGTGACGACGTTATATCACTGGAAACGTCGAAAAATTCAACATCATCCATTGCAACTTCCTTTTTTGTCCCTAAAGACATTTCATTGAGGAATGCAGAAGAGTCAAGGGTGACATGCTCTGATGATGAATTTGTTGGGGAAGTTACAACGTAGCAAATGTTTTGATCAGCTGGTGATGGGTGTGTGGGGACCATCCTTGTGTACCTTCTGCAACTTTTTGAATTTTGTTAATTGAAATGATTTAATGAAAATCACCTTCGGCGTTTGACGTGTTGGTCTAGGAAAGAAAGTTCGTCGAATAATTCCCATTTTTTAACAGAAACGCCAGCATTCTGCATTCTTCTTTCTCTTGAATATCTTTCCCTAAGAGTTCTCCATCTAGCCAGACATTCTTTGACTGAAATAAAATTTCTCAATTGAAATAAAATCGGATTTATTTCAGCGCACCAGGTACTCCAAATACTTTGGCTATTTCAATCCAATGTTCTAATTTTTGTTTCCCATATGATCCCCCCGAGTACCTGTGGTGGTATAAAATAGGTGAATTTTTAATTTTATCAATGAACCGTCTCAAATCATCAAATGAGGCTGATTCTGTAAAAACATTTTAAGAAGAAAGCAAACCAGCAATGTCCCGCCAACCTTTTTCTTTTGACGCATCATCATCACTGTTCAAATGATCTGATAAAGACATAGTTACGCCCACAAGTCTAAAAACCCATTTTGAAAATACTATACAAGAGAATAGTTAACAAACCTAGATCTCCTGCCTACAATGTATGGTTCTAAAAATTTAAGATCGTCGTAGTACGGACAAACAACGTTTTTATTGTTATTACTTTGGCCTTCATTTTTGTTTTTATGCTTACTAAATAAGTCCCTCATGCCCTTCCATCTTTGTTGCACTTCACCAACTTTAAAAACCAAAATTAAATCAGTTAACTACACCAAAATGAAATATCTCACCCGTAACCTCAAAAACTGAAGCTATCGCTTCCCAAGCCTCGTTTTTCTTTTGAATATTCTTGAAATCAGGCAAGTTTTTATCATATAAAAACTGACAATTCCTTACTAAAGCTATGAGTTCTAGTTCATTACCAAACAGCCCCTTAGTTCCCTCTATATCTACACAAAATAATTTCAATATTAATCTTACAAAATACAACAAAACAGCACAAAAATTAACAATAATTCGGTTGTCAGTTTGAGGTTAAATCTCTTTACTTACTCAATTCTTTACTTAAACGCTGAATATATTCTGTTACTGTTAACTTTAATGTTGCGTGTTCTTCCATAGTGTTAAAGTAATTAATAATAATAATAGAGAAATACTGTTTTTTAGCTGATTTTTTATGATATGTTACATTTCTATTACTTAACTTCTTTTGACATTTCAACAATCAACAAACTCAAAAAAACTCAAGGTCGTTTCTCGTAGCGCCCTCGAGCATACAAAAGCTAAATAACAAACAACCATCGTACAGTTTTCTCTAACCATATTTAAAAAAATCTCAAAGTTATTCAATCGGAAATAATGAAGGTGTAATAATAACTAATAAAGTACTTAAGTAGCAACAATTAAGTGATAAAAACGTTATCACTAATAGAAGAAATAAAATAAGAAATAAAATAAAAATAAAAAAGTGTAAGATTATAATTCCTATTAATAAAAAAAGTATTTGCGTCTGTTCCTTTTGTTTCAAGTTTCAACAAACAAATAATTACAATATTTAGCATTTTAGTGTCACTTTATTAATATTTTGTTAAATATACATAATGGGAATACATGTAGATGAAATGATGTTCCATTTTCTGGTGGAAAATTGTAGTCTAAAAATTGTCAAAAATTGTTTGTGTTGTTGATATAGTTCGACATCATTTTAAACTCTTGATGCAAATAATAGTCATTTCCTGTAATTTAGTTTAGTTTTTTTAATAAAATTACAAACTAATATCAAGTTTTTCTAAACTATTATTCCTGCCCTTGAAAGAAAATCAGGTTAAAAACCCGCTTAATGTACATGTTTTACTCGTTTTTAAAATAATACCACATAAAGATATTGAGGTACATTAGATAAGGAACAAAGTTATTTTTTTAAATGGTTACACTCTAATCCAAACAATTTATAGGTATATCTATCCAATTCCTATTTCAGACCTTCGAATTATTACAGTATTTTTTAATTTTGTTAACTTTTTGCAGTGACCTTCCTTGTGCGAGAAGAAAACGGGTCTGTGCATGACTATTCAATTTAAAGATAAATCACTGAATTAAAATATGCACAAGAATGTCATAAAAAAAAACGAAAATAATTGAAATTGGCAAGTAATATGGATATCTTATTACTTATTGCAAACTCGTTTGTTAATTTAAATTCTTAAAGAGTAATCTATTACGTCAGGATTACCTAAGTACTCGAACATTTTGTTTATTCAAATGATCAATGTTGTACACTCGAGCCCAATTCCGGGTTTTTTATTCAAAAAATATTTACACAAATAATTGTCAAAAATATTCAAATAACATTTACACAGAGATTTAATTAATTACTGTTTATAATTTCCCAATCGTAAAATATATTGATTCCACTTGCGTCATAAGTATATTTGATGTATAATTTTTCACCAAACATTTTTATTTTAAATAAATATTTAAACTTGTTAAAATTAAATTTGCTTTTATTTTTTAATTTAATACACTTGTAACTGCATTCACTTATTTAATCGTAATTTGTGTCACTTTACAATCACTTCAGTGCAAAAATGTGTTTACTAGAACACCGCCTCTATGTCAATGTCTCGATTAAAAACCAATCAGCGACTAGGTTTCAGCAAACCATTTTTAAACACTTGTCCTCAATTTTAATTATTGTCAAATCTCTAGTGAAAGTTTTTAACATTTCAATCAACAAACCGACCAACGATTCTGACCACAAAACAAAACAGTTTTTTTTAATGTGAAATAAAAATCTGCCACTGAATTGGTATTATTCCTCCTTGAACTCTTTGAATTTACATTTAAACGAAAGAAATGCTTGCAAAATTTTTCTATTTTTCACAATGTCATTGACTACAAACCTATTTCATCAGTTTCCAAATTGTTGTAAGCTTAAACCGGATTATTCGTACTAAATCTTTAAACGTACCGCGATAAGAGCCAAGATAAGTAGTCATGTTAGGTGTATATTCATGTGTTTAACTCATTCCGTCATGGTTCTCAATAAGGTGAGTACCATTTATTTGGTGAACTATAATTACAAACCAAACATGTTTGTGAATATTTTAGTGTTTATTGTGATGAGACTTTACATAATATTTAAAAAATTATTTGTAGGTATTTTCTATTTATTTCCTTTTATTTGTTGTAAGTGTTGTAACAAAAGGAAAATCTTTGAAAAAAAGTGACAAAGAACCATTTGAAATCAATGAATTCCTTTTCGGTACATTTGGCACCAAAACTTTTAATGGGTCGTGGCTTACAGGTACCATATTACCTATTAAAAGTCGCAAAAATATATTTTTTTATTGTAGGAGACTCTATACTTCATAAAAATAAAGAAGGTGACATTGTTTTATCTAACGTGAAACTCGGAAATTCAACCGTGTTTCTCAAGAAGAGCGTACTCGTAAGTTTCTAAAGAAATATTAACACAAGGGAAACAGGTTTAATTGAAATTTTTTATTTTAATTTTAGGACCCTTTTCCCATGCTATACAGTACTTCTGTAGCGCCAGATCATCGTTATGTTCTGATAAGATATAATGTCTCTGCAGTAAGTACTTATTTGTTTTTTATTGCAATATTACAATGATTACAAATTTAGGTGTTTCGTCATTCAACAACTAGCCTTTACACCATTTATGACATTGAAAATAAGTAAAATTGTTCAAATAATACAAGTTTAAAATTTATTTTTGTCAAATTTTAGCAAATACTATGACATCGAAAATAAAAATCACACTCAATATGCCCAATGGGCACCTGTAGGTCATGGTCTTGTTTACGTCTATTTGAACAACTTGTACTACTTAAAAACTCCTTTAGCCAAACCGATAGCTTTAACGAGTGACGGAGTTTCTGGAATTATTTATAATGGAGTACCAGACTGGGTTTACGAAGGTAAGTAGGTACCTTAATTATCTAACACTTAAAAAATGAATTATAATACTAGAGGAAGTATTGGGTACGGGTTCCGCTCTGTGGTTCTCACCAGATGGAAAACAGTTTGCATTTGCATCCTTTGACGACACTCAAGTTAAAAATTTTACATATTTTACATACGGGGTTCCAGGTGATCTCACTTCTCAGTACCCTCAAAAAGTTACAATAAAATACCCAAAAGTATAATTTCTTTCACAAATTAATCTTTTTCTTAGTCAGAATATTTAACAGGTAGGTACCAAAAACCCTGACGTGACAACATACATCGTAAATTTAGAATCGGATGATGATAAAAAAGTACCATTAGAAATTCATGCAATTGACAAATCGTGGCACGAAAAAGATGATTACGTCTTGTATGACATGGTTTGGGTCACCAATGATGAACTTGCAGTGATTTACTCAAATCGGGTCCAAAATAAAGCGCATTTGGTTCGATGCACCAAAGAAGCGAAATGTAAGAGCGTACCTGAAGCGACTTACGAGGAGAAAAACGGTTGGTTGCAAATACAAATTCCTTTTTACAATAAGGCTGGTACTCAAAGAATTGAAATTTTACCACAACCCGAAGGAACGGACGAATTTGATCACTTGGTACTAACTGATGTTGCTAGTGGTAATGCGAAAAGGTTGACAAAAGGCCCGTTTTATGTCACGACTGTGGATGGGTGGGACGAAGCAAACAGTCTCATGTCAGTACATCCAAATTGTGACAACTGTAATAATTCCGGGTTTAGATATTTTTCAGGAACTGGTGAGAATGCTCCGGCCCAGATGCACGTTTATGTTGTCAATACCGAAACTGTTGAAGTCAAATGCTTGACTTGTGAGATGAATACGTCTCGTGGTCTCTGCAAATACGCTTCGGCGGTCTACAGTAAAGATTTTAGTTACGTTACAAAAATTTGCAGAGGTCCCGGACCTTTCCTTGTTGAGATACACAATCTAAAAGATGTAAATCTTAATTATAATAAAATTGTTATGAAAATTGAGCTTGTAGGAATGTGATATTCTCATTTGGGAAGACAACCAAGCTTTGGTTGATAAATTGGCAAAAAAAGCATTACCGGTTGAAAAAAATTTGAAAGTACCTCTTGCTGGTGGTTTTAATGCTAATGTGCGAATGCTTCTTCCACCAGATCTGGATGAGAATGGGTCTAAAAAATATCCAGCAATTGTTAACGTGTATTTAAGATTATTTTTGACGAAAATTTTATTGAATAATTTTTTTTAGTTATGCAGGACCTAGTAGTAACCAAATAAGCGACGCTTATTCGGCAGGATTTCAGAATTATGTTGTTACAAATCGGAAGTATATTTATATCTATATTGATGGACGAGGAAGTGGTAAAGACGGTAAAAATAAAATGCACCAAGTTTACAGAAAATTAGGAACAGTAGAAATTGAGGACCAAATTGCTGTTACAAAGTCAATTATTTCAATTCGATTTTCAATTAAAATTAATGTGTGATTTTTTTCAGATTCCTGCAGCAAAAGTTTTCCTATATTGACGCCAATAAAACTGGAATTTGGGGTTGGAGTTATGGGGGCTTTGCCAGTGCTTGGGTCTTAATTAAAGATACTGAAAAGATTTTTAAATTTGCAATGTCAGTGGCACCTGTAACTAGTTTTATTTATTACGGTAAGCCAAAGTTTGAATCATGAGATTTATAATGTTTAAAACTATTCGGTTTCTTATACGTCTGGGAGGGTAGTTTATTGTAGTTTTTCTTCCAGATTCAATTTATACCGAGAGATACATGGGTTTGCCAACCCCTGAGGATAATTTAGGAGGCTATAACAATACAGATGTTACAAGGAAAGTATTGGCGATGAAGGACAAATTATTCTTCTTAATCCATGGCAATGCCGACGATAATGTCCATTACCAGCAGTCCATGCTTTTGTCTAGAGCTCTAGAAGTTTATGATATACCATTCCAACAACAAGTACGAGTATTTGGTTACAATTATTGACAATAATTTTACATAAATTTTAGAGTTATCCGGACGAGAATCACAGCTTGGGCCGCGTATGGCCCCATTTGTACCACACTATTGATCGATTCTGGGCGAGAAGTTTCAATTTACCTGACCCTCCAGCTCCCCGATTAGTTCCCCCAATAATGTAGTTTGATTTGCATTGAATAAAAAAACTAACTCTGAAAATTTATTTTGAAAGCGTCTTTAGATAAAGTGAATTAAAAATTTACAGTTTGGCACTCCTTGCAATCATAAAAAAATGAAGTCACGCGAAGGTTGATGCGTCAAGACTACTCAGACAAGATTATAGGTGTTTTCGCATAGAAAATGTCGAATAGAAATAAAAGCTTTTAAGATTTTTTGTCACGAAATTGGAACGATAAGTAATTAAAGCGCTGAGATAAACAAAAATAGTCATCAATCTTGGCAAATTTGTTGTTATTATTAAAATTTGTGTAAAAAATGACGAGGCCTGTCGAAAAATAACTAATGTATCTGTGTGGAAAACTGCATAAGAAAAGCTGAACACGGACGGAGCTATAAATCACAAAGAAGGCCACAGTTATTGATGTGTTATATTGAATAAACAGAGATTGGGTTGATAAAATGGGACGCTGGTAGTTTCAAGACAATTAGGCTACTGAAATATCTTATGTATGTGCGATTACCACGCAATATGCAAATAAACGGATTGACGATGCAAGGCACAAACGGCGACGTAGAAGCTAATCGTTTGTTGTAATAAGTCAGAGGCGATGCAAACAAAGGGGAAAAGTAGAACTTTTCATTGTAGCCAGAAACATTGCAGATAGGCACATATACTCTTAATAAATAACAATATTGTAATAATTTTAACATCAATAAGAGCTATATTACAATTACCGATACAATAATAAATTTCGGACTGTAAACTCCTATCTGGAGTACTCCTATCTTGAAACTGGAAAAAATAAAGCTTCCTTCTATAAATTCAAATTCAAATTTGTATTATAGTTTTCAAGTAATGTATAAAATTAAAACAATATTTTTACATGTGGTAAATAAGTGTAGTTGTGAATGTCTAATTTTTCAATTTTTTCTAATAAATTTGTATTTTTTATGTATATTTTTGGAATTTTCTTCTTCTAAAATTGTGCGTAAATTGAACAAAATTGTCTAAAGAAGCCACCTTAAAAAGTCTGGAATAATGCTTATTTTTATTTTGCTGTTATCATGACTTCATAAGTAACAGACTTAAAATATTTTTTTGTTTTTATTTTCACAATTTATAAATTATTGTAACGGAGAATAGCTTCTTATATGTTTAGAAGCAATTATAATAATAATTTAGACCCAAGTGCATTTTTATTTCAATAAAACTGTTCACTCTTTATTTTTAAATTTTCTAACATGTTTATCGCTGTCCGTTTCTTTGTTTTTTATCAGTTGTAAACAAACTTTCTACAGTAAATAACAACTGATATTTTTCAGCCATCTCCCGGAATCCCAAACATTTTAAAACAATGCCTATTCACCGTCCTTCGAAATAACGACAAAGCATGCAAGAGATACCATCTCGAAACMACCCCCGACAAGATAAACCAAAACTTTGTTCAAAACTAGTTTTATCAACGGTTCTGAATTTCCTTTTAAACACAACGCCATTCTCGGTCCGTTTTTTAAGCCGCTTTGCATCCATCCCGTGAAAACTGTTGCATCTCTTGGTCATTAATCCTCGCCGAAAAAAATTACATTACCCACGCAAAATTTGTTCAGCAAACTCGAGAATGAAGAAAAATAACGTCACGTCTTGTACAAAAAATAATTACTAATATCATTCCCTATTATCCTGGCGGTGCTCCTCTATAGTCCCTACATATAAGGGAGATTGTAGGAATATCCGCAGGGAGCGCTGTCGTCCTGGCGTCCCGGCAAACCCTGATGCAGTATTCGGCCGGAACCCGAACATGATGCACAGCGTCGCGACGCCTAAACTCGGCACAAGTCTACCTGTAGTGGCAGTGCTTCCCACATACCGTTATGCCTATTGGTGATAGTTTACAGTCACTTCTTCATTCAAGAAACTACGGTCTGTGGCCGATTTTCGACAGTCTTGCTCTACAGCTTATAACACCGCGACCGGAGTCTGAAAAAGGTACATCTCATCTCTTGTAATTTGAATTTTGCGACAAGCGCGACGTCCTGATTTTTTTTCTTGACTCGCCTGAACCTGGATGGAATCGTGGAAGGATAACGCAAACTTAATTGAAATTTTATTCTGATTAAGGTTTGCCCGGACTTTCGATTTTAATGAGATTAGGTTTTTCTTGAAAAGAATATTGCAGATGGCGTCGTAATTTCATAAATAAACATTTATTGCTCAAGAATGTTCTACTGCTTAATCTCGTGTAGAAAGAAATAAAAAGTCGATAAAATCCGGTTACATTTTAGGTTTTGTAGATATCACCCTTTATGTAGGTACAACTGAGCATTCGGCCCCATTTTAAAGCTTTTACATCCCATATCGAATACCCAAGATGAGCAGCCTTTAAAATTCAACATGGATACATTTGTAAAAATTTCACAAACTGGAATTACACTTCCATAAGATAGCCAAACAATTTCTTAAGCTTTTTAATTATAATTTCTTTGTTTGATTTATTAAGAAATTGTCATCCTTTGCATATGACGAAAGATTTGCCACACTCGTAAAAAATAATTAGATAAAGCCAGAGCGCCCCTAATCATTTAATTGGACGTCACAAGCTGTTTAGCACATTGTCCCTTTTAACGAAGATTTAAAAGGTTTAACAGTCACTTAAGCGTAATTTTCTGAAATCGGCCGTCAAGAGCGCTCTGTTCTCAGCGGATTTTGGACAAAATTATACACGTCAAACAAATCATTTTTTTAAAATCTGCTCTGCATTTCTATTTGCAGTTATTCTAAACACAAAGTAGCTTGTTTTCTAGCAAGCAGCATTCTAGTCGTGGGAGTATAAAACTATTCTCACAAGAGTTACATTCTTATCGTGTTTTAGCTATTTGTAAAATGAATTTATTATACAACTTGCAGCTTCTCTTAGAACTTTACCCAACTTTTGGTGAATTTTAACAGAGGATAATCAATTTTATTGATTAATTTTACTCTCTGGAAAAGAAAATTGCGACGCTACTGGACTGGGAAGCAATCAGTAACCGAATTGAAATCTAAGTTGCATGCGAGTATTTCTAAATTCGGCTCAAAATCGATGGTTTTCCATTGGCAAATAGAGCCATTAATTCATATCAGAGTCTAAAGTTAGCCATGTCATCCCGAAATAGAAGCCTTTTTTTGTAATAAACCTCCAAAAATATTGCAAAGCAGTTTGTCAACTGCCTTGAGGCAACATTAATGACATTATCGGAATGGAGCTTATTTGACAAATATCGATTACGAGTTGCGAATTGGTCTCTTAAGGAGGTACTGGAAAAAATGTTACTCTCATTGGGCCATATATGAAGACGATCGTGTTCCCTATTTGGGGTTACGTGACCTCGTAAAAAACATCTTCAGAATCGGTTTCTGAATACTCGTTTCACTAATATTTAATCAAGATTATATCAGAGAGGATTCAGCTTTTAACACTTAACCCATCATTAATTTTGTAAGTTTAATAAAAATGACAATCTAGGTAAAGTAGTTTGTGCTTTATAATTAAATTAGTTGAGTCAGGCAATTTAAGTTTGGGGAAAAATGTGGCAGTGGACACGAGAATTTAATATAATTAAAGACTAATCTCAAAACTTTTGAATTGAACTACCTACAAATTTTAATTCCACTTTAACTATAAAGTTTCAAACAAGTATTTAAGTTCAGTCTAGATAAGAATATTTGAACAAGGATACACAAACATTTCCGACTGAAAAAATGTGAGAGTTTGTATTTTTATTGTTTATAAATTGTTTAAAATTGTGGAAATATTTTTTCTTGCATTGATTATGTCACAAAGCTTAATCAGCCAAGCGATTGTTTATCACGCTTGGCATAATACATCTAATAAAAATTTATAAGTTGCCAAAAAATAAATAAAGCAGAAAAATATACGCTCCTTGTTGTCTGCTACAAACTTTCTCATTTTTCTTTGATTTATCTTTCGTTCAGATTAAAATTTAAAGTGTAACAAAACACAAGAGCTATGAAATTGTTACTAAGGATAAATCTATTTTGAAAAATTTGAATAATTGGCAAAAAGAATTGTAGCAAAAATCCGAGTTGTTGTAATTAAGCACTAATTTGTAAAGTTTTGCGATTGATGGTTCTGCAAATTTTCGTTCTACTCGAACTATAAATTTCCGGCTGAGTATTAAGAGAAGGCGCCTAGCTCAAGAAACAATATATTAAGACTGCCAAGACATAATGGCTTCGTTTATTTAATGCACCAAAAAGAAACAATTCACGTTTATTCTGTCAAATGTGATCATCTTACTAATAGGTGCTTGAATATATTAATGTAAAAAACGCAAACTAAGCCTCGGAACAGTAAAAAAATTAAAAAATACTATTCAACCAAGCGAGACCAAATCGAGCCAAAGTGACACATAATGAATTTTTCGTTCGATGATATCGAAAAGAAGGCAAGCATGGTAATACGAGCATTTTGATCAAGATCAGTGCGTTATCTCACATTTGGTAAGAATAAATCTAGTGATGGGGCTCTGGGGAAAACTAAATGGTTGATAAGTACGTAAAAGCGCTTTCTAGAGCGTAATTGCTCTAGTTCGTAAAAAATTACAAAGCTTAAATTAATTATCAAATCATCGTGTGTGCAAATCACGTGATTATACGTGTATTTATTTTTGGAATCATAATTTGTATTATTAAGGGGTGGCATCCATTTAACAAATTAAAATCGATAGGTCTTGTTTAAAGGTTGCACCGGAATCGATCCTGACCGGAGTCGATGATCTAAGGAAGTTAGTGGTTTCCGGATTTGCTCCTGAATTATGACCCGCACGATATATTTAGCACTGCGTTTTATCACCTCCAACAAACATCGAATTTTGTCTATGTTATTGCAATAATAATTAATATTAAACCTTGACTACATTTTAGAAATCTTATATTTTTTGTAGTTCACCATAGTTTCAAAGAATCTTAAAAACAAACAGTTTTTGTAATTTTTTAAAGATTTCGGTTGAAAATTGTAGTCGAATGTTTACAAATAATTTTGTTTTTCCTTTTTCTAATAATAGATACAAATAAATATTTCTAAATTGGAATTTTTACAAGTTCCAACGTCAACAGTTGTGAAAAAGTGATCTAGAATGGAAATGAGAGTGAAGATAACATCAAGTATTCAAATTCAAATGAGCCCTTAATGTTGTGGCATTCATTCGCATTTTTCTGGTTCTTCACTTACTATACCACTAAATGAACGATTATAAATCACCAAATGTAACATAATTGGGTCAGTTAAATTAAAAACAAAATTTTCAATTTTACTTTTAAATTGCTCATTTTTAAACGGTTTATTTTCGGTTCCCGTTCAAAGTGCACTTTTCGGAATCAGTTTGGCCTCACGTAACGACCGGCAATCTTCTCCCGTGCCAATTGTCACCATAATTTTCATCAAACACTTTGACCTGAACCTCGAACTTTTTTTCGTTACTTCCGGTGAATCATTGACAATACCTCCAGACGGAGTAGTTGAATTTGCGACAACGTAATAGCTGTAAAACCGATTTAAAGCCGCCGCACACCCATTAACTTCCATTGGATTCTTTCAATAGTGCATAATGGCCTGCGAATTTGCATTTCGGCCAATTCGCAGACTCGGCGCATCCACCATTCTTGATGCAGCGCCACAAATGGGCCCAAAGCCGGCTATTATTTTGCCTAATTAGACGCGTGAAATTCCTGCTAGCAATTTATTGTTCCTCCAAATTTCTGCTGTGCTTGGAATTTCAATCTATATCATATTGTTGTTTTCCGCTTCACTGGAATTCGACAGACAAAATAGACCTCGCGCGAGACCACTACGAATTATCCAGCACTGTAATATTCACTTTATTGCGCTTATTTTTATTCACATCAAACCGTTCTCGTACTGGATATCACAACAAGATCTTGTTAAAAATTCACCACGAAACCGGAAACATCACGTCTTATCGGAGCTTTAAAAATTTAGCTCATGAAATTTTTGTAGCAAATCGGTATTTTGTAATAAAATTTTAGTAATACCGTAGATAAAATCCCTGTGTACAGCCCATGGCGGTATCGGCAGCAGCAATAACGCGCATCAGTAACTTTTGCCGCTTGAGTCGATTCGAGTGAAAATAATTCCAAATTTTATTCACACTTTTTGCTTCAAAAAGGCTTTTTATCATTCTTATTAATTTTTGCCTCATTACCATAATCCTCGTCAATCTCGATTTGGATATAAAGCTCGAAAGAGTCTCGAGATACACTGCTGAAATGTTCTGAAAAATGAACTCTACACCTACAAACACATTTAAATACAAAAAATAAAATTTAAATGGCTTTTACCATGTAGTTTTCAAGAATGTATGCTTATCGAAAAGTGAAATTATTTATTTACGTGCATAAATCATAAAACGTGAAATATAGGTAGCAATAACAAAGAAAAAATTCAAATTCAACTTACTTTAAAGTATTTTTCTGTGAAAGTTGGTAAAAGTTTATCGATATATCAAAGACCTATTTATTCACGCAATGTTATACATGAAGCTTGTTTAATCGCGTGATCGCCCAATTATTTTTAATCAAAATAATCATCTACTACACAGGGTTGACACTGTAGGCATATTAGTAGGCAAGGTAGGCGGTAAAACAATGTATCACACCGTTAAAATCAAATCAAATATGTTCCCAAAACACTTAATTAAAACATAAACATAACTTTTATTTTGAATAATTTAAAAAACTGTCCATGAAACACTAAACTTATACCTTATTACAAAAATGTAAAATGTAATTTTGCTCCACCTATTTCGATTTATTTTTTACATTTTGAAACAACTTCATTTGCGCCACTAATCATTGGATTAAGTGCATGAATGCTGAAATTAAGTGTTCCGAGATAAAGGAATTACTGTTTGCCAAGTTCGAATGTGGCCACTTTGGGGCCGCTCTTGCGGTTATGAATAATTCCTCTA